TAATTCCTTATGGTCTTCGAGAGGCAGTACATAAAACATTAAACGATTTGTGTGCGAAAGGCATAACTGAACCGATCCAGTCCTCAGCATGGGGTACTCCTATTGTTACGCCACTGAAGTCGGATGGCAAAACCCCTAGAATATGTGGTGATTATAGATTAACACTGAATTCTCTTTTGTTGAAGCAAGCATGCACGACGGTAGAAGCTGAAGATATTCTAAATCGACTTCATGGTTCTAAAGTGTTCTCGAAAGTTGACCTAAAAGATGCTTATCTCCAAATCACTTTAGATCAATCTTCATCTCTTTAGACGACAATTAATACTCCTTTTGGTCTGTTCAAATACAATTTCCTTCCATTTGGTCTAAGTTGTTCTCCAGCTATATTTCAGGAAGTCATGAATAATGTAGTTAGTGATCTTAAGGTTGTTGAAGTCTAACAAGATCTCATTGTCCATGGTTCTGATAAGATAGTTCATAACCAGGGACTTATTGCTTTATTGCGTCGTTTAATTGAGAAGAATATTACAGTGAATCCAAATAAGTGTTCATTTTGTGTGTCTAATTTCGAATGTCTTGGATACCTAGTTGATGGTAATGATTTTAGACCAGATATGAAACGACTAGCTCCACTGACAAATGCACCGTCTCCGAAAAATTTTACGGAACTACGTTCACTAGTGGGTGCTCTTCAATACTATTCCCGTTTTATTCCTAATTTTTCTTGTCGTGCAAATTGTTTATTTAATATTTTGACATCCAATTCATTTAAATGGGGTGGGGAACAAGGGTCATGCTTACGTAGTCTACTAAAATTTCTTCAAAGTGATGCTGTTCTTCGAACTTACTCCCTATTGTACAGTCTGTACTTATCACTGATGCATCACCTGTGGGTATTGGCGCAGTTTTGGAACAGGAGGGTAGACCAGTTATTTGTGTTTCACGCAAACTTACTATTACTGAACAAGGTTATTCACAGACTCAGCGAGAAGCATTAGCTGTGTTTTGGGCTGTTAAAAGACTTCGTAAATATTTATTCGGAAGGAAATTCACTATTGTTACTGATCATGAGGCTTTAAAGTTTATTCATCATCCTGGAAAATCCTTAGCACGTTCCTCAGCTGCCATGGTTCAACTATGGAGTATTGCTTTGAGTGCCTATGACTATACGGTTCAGCACAGGAGTGCCAAACAAATTCAACATGTTGACTACATTTCTCGACAGTCATTACAAGATAAACCTGTTAATACTTCAGACTGTTTGTTAGTGCAACCTTTACCAGTGAAACGTCCAGATCTCATTAGAGAAACTCGTAAATACTTTGGATGTTTAATTAGTGCTATACGGAAAGGTTGGAATGCTAATCTCAAACGCAGATTTCCTATCTATTTTTCAAAGCGGGATGAGCTATCTACTAATCCTGATGGTATTTTGTGTTTAAATGATCGTGTTGTTATTCCTCCTTCATTGCGTAAATCTGTCCTAGAAGATCTTCATAGTGGACATCTAGGTGTTGAAAAAATGAAGTCATTGGCGAGGCTCACATATTGGTGGCCAGAGATAAATGCAGATATTTGTCGTACAGCAAACAATTGTGAAAAGTGTCATAAGCTGAAAAATCAGCATTCGAAGTGGACTCCATGGCCAGTATCATCTGAGGCCTGGCAGAGAATTCATGCAGACTATTGTGGTCCGTTTCTTGGCAAATACTATGCGCTTGTAGTTATTGATTCTTTTTCAAAGTGGCCTGAAGTTTTTTTCACAACTTCACCAAATTCTGACTTCACAATTCAAGCATTAAGAAAGGTGTTTAGTCGAGAAGGGGTTTCAATGGTGTTAGTGACTGATAACGGCTCTCATTTTGCTGCAGATGCAGTCACTACCTGGTTAAATGGTATAGGGTGCAAACATCTGTTTACTGCTCCCAGACATCCTTGTTCCAATGGTCAGGCAGAAAATTTTGTCAGGACGTTAAAAACTGCCATTGATTCTATTGCTGCCTCAACATTAATGAGCTGGAGAGGGGAGTAGATACCTTTCTACTACAATATAAAAATGCCAGACATTCGGTGACGAAAGAGACTCCATCAAAACTATTAAAAGGAAGAATTCTTCGGTCGAATATGAGATGTTTGGAGTCTACAGAAGTTACGTATTATCGTGGAAATGATCTTCGACCATCCACGGGGATTAATCTGAAGAATGTCGGGAAATCTATGGTGCGACTTCTAGATATCAATGACTTAAGTACACACAATTGACATATTAATCCAATACAATTCCAGGAACCAGATAATACAGAGTCTTTATCCAATACATTGTCGGACAGACACAGCATGAACTTGAGAAGAAGACGTACAATTGATTACAGACACTTAGACTCTAATTTAAGCTGTGGCGGATGTGGTGTTTGAATGAACTTTTGATTGCTTTGTACTTGTTGAATGTTTGATTTTGAATTCTAAATACAGTACATTCGTTAGTGCTTGTGTGGTTCTTCTTGATTCAATTGCGTTATCCCTGGGATTCTTAGTTCATACTGAGCGATCAAAGCACCAGTTGATTTCCGTACAACAAGAGTTATTATCATTGTTATGCGCAAACATCTTATGGGTACAGAAGTGTTGTGAAGAGACCATTTTGGGTTTCTCGAAATGTTTTACCCCTCTGTTCTTCAATTTCACTGATTGGCTTATCCGCTTTCTCCTTTACCGGTCCTCTCAGGTTTACCATATTTTCCTATTAGTTTCTTCGTTGTGTTATATAGCTGTCTCGTATTTCCTTCTTTTGCAGCTTTTTCCGCGCTCATAGCTAGCTCCTACACGTATTTCTGCTTATCCGCTAAGATGCTCGTCTAAACTTGCTTGTTTACTTCTGTGTATTCAACTTGTACTTCGCTTTGATTGACTGCAGCCACTCATATGACTGATCTTTATGACCGTCGTTGCTATAACATTAGATACCATTCGACGTGATTCGGTACTTCTTTGTTTTGAATAATGCTTTGATGATCCTGGATCCGTGAGATTCTCGTCTTAATAGTGTTTTATTGTACGGCATTAGAGCAACTCCCTGAGTCTGTGGAGCATTTCTCTCTTCTTGACCAGAATACACCAGCATCTCTCGCGTATGTAACCTTTGTTGTCGAGCTTGGGTCCAATGGGTTTCGCTGATTAACAGGACTGCCAATTTGTATCCCCTCATTTCTGCTACTACTTGACTGATCTTGGCGGTTTCTCAAATTGTCCGGACGTTCCATATACCTATAACAATTGCTACTCCTGTTGCTAGAAGGGGCATCGCCCTCTTGGCTTCCGAAGGAACTCAGATTACAACATGAGGCGTCATATTTCTTCATAATGAAGACCTTCTAACTTACCGGGCAGAGTTTTAATGGTTTGGGTTGTTTTTTCTGGTAAGGGTCTTATTAGCGAGTTAGTTTTCTACGGGATGGTTACGCTAACCCATGCTCAACCCTTCCCTTTTATCCAGGCTTGAAACCGGCATTAACTTTAGGAGAGCTACAGGCGGAGTTTGAATAATGGTGATTTTCGGGAATACACTCATTATAACTGACCTGTCGTATTATCACATAATCAATTTTTGTGTGATATTCCTGCAATCTAGATTGCTTAATTTTTCATGGTGTCTTATCTACATATTTAGGTCGCATTGTTTCGAAATAATTGAGTGAGATTGCTGTTACTTTAAATAACGACATGTTTATTGGTAAAAGTATGTCACTCCACAATCTTTGTTCCCTTGTTTACGACAGTCAAAACATCCACGTGCTTGAAAGCAATTCTTTCAAAGAGGAAATGAAGAACCCATTTTCATTCAAACGAGCAACCACATTGAAGATTTTAATAAATGCCAAGTTTCTACGAATTTTTATTTTGGAGAACTTCCCATAACATACCCGGGAGAATGTAATCAGCGTAGTCAGATTACTTTCCTTTATACTAGCCACAATCTCATCCTTAATTTAAATCTGACGTACAAACGCGTAAATTTATGACCGCCAACGTCTACACGTTGGATTAAGCAATAAATTCGATTTGTGAAATATGTGCTGAAGACCCGTTTCAAATACTTGAATACAATTTCTCGTAGAGGTAGAAATCTGACCACTGGTTTTGCTGATAATTTTTACTAAAACCGAAGGGAATAAAGTTCAAGAATGTATCAGAACATTTGAGAACTGCTAAGGCGAAGCTAATAATATGAAGGCCATCAAAGCATCTCATGAGTAGAAAGACCTTAATTTGTATTTTATGAAACTTTTTCGTGTAGAATGTGTAAATATAACGACTACAGAAGAACATATCTAACTAGGCCTACCAGTTGACAAAGAACACCACAAACGCACATGACTCTCCTACAAACCAACCTGGTTTCAAAAGGTACCTCCAAAGTGTACGAATTTCCAGTTACGTTAACTTCATTCAGAAGTATTGAAACGTTGGTACCTTTACGCTTTATTGTTATCGACTACAAGAATATCATTACTATACTCCAAATAAGTGGAAACAATCACAGTAATAATGTCGCAGGACTTGAAACTGAATGAATACTTGGGTGCTAAGTTGTTACTTAAGTCATAAGCAACTCAAAATATTTGTCTTGGTGAGCAAAACTACGCCATTCAAACTTAGATTTTTGAACACACACAATTTTTGTATGATTTAGAACACGAAACTGCGAGCAGCATTACAAGAGCATTCAATGTCATTTAATTGTAACCAAAACTTTAATTTCACACTATTTATCTAACTGATGCTGAAAAGTACAATAATAACGAAAAGAAAAATCTAATCGCATAAACAGATTTAGATAGAACTGTTATTTGATATGTGTCAAGTAGTTGTAGGCTCACAAAATAGGAATAAATTGAAAATATTCATTTAAGAATCTGTTTTTATACACAACTGTGGAGAAAAAAAAGAACTCCGCGTCTTTAAATGCGATAGATGGCCCACAAGAACCAAAACAATGACGATTACAAATCAGTTAATAAGAATCGACCAAGTATAGCCCAGTGATCAGAAGGTAAACACGGAAGATTCTTAACCTTTTCGATTCCACGAAGGCCAAAATCAACGGGTTTTAATCTGGAACCTAACGCATACATGCGATCATATCGGAAAGTCATATGAGCTCGAGGAATACCTCTGAACTGACGTCGAGCATTTAGGTTGTGCATAGGGTCCCAAGTATTTCTTATCTCATTGCGACGTCCACATTCATACCATACATCATGTATTCCAAACGGTAAGCCCCCTAACACACTGACCTATCAATATAAAAAACAATCATGAATAAATACAGCACTTTATAAACCAGGGACAGATACATAAACAAAACATATAAATGCAGACATTTGATTAGAGCGCAGCGATTTCTGGGAAAAGATCAGAGGCTACATTTCTCGTAAATCCCTGAGTACTAAATGCACGAAATCCTTGAAAGATTAATAAGTTATGTGAAAAACCAAGTGAAGAATAAGTAAATACAAATCTTCATGAAGTGTTCATGTGTAAAAAGAATCAGGACATGAAACGGAAGAGATAAAAGGTCATTTACGACTACGAGGCATTTGCTATAATGGATAAGAAGGAAAAATACTTTATATAATCTAAAGTACCTTCCTATAAGTAACTAGTGTAGCTGATTTTTAAAATACAAACAGAATAGTTATAAAAATAGAAAATATATCTGTCTGGTTTAAATAGAAAAAACGACAAACATTTGGCAAATCCACCAGATTAACAAGAAATAAACTAAAGCTGTAAACTTCAACTCAAAGGAACTACAACACATAAGAAAATTAAATTTATTTGTTTACTCGATCAGAACTGCTTTTAAATCTAGTGAAAACGCGTTGACAGGAAGATGAAGCATCACGAAGCAAGCGCTAAATTGGAATCCTGAAGGTAAACGTGAAGAAAGAGGTCCAAGGAGCATACTGTATCGGGTGTCCGAGACAGACACTAAGTGAATGAATTATACTTGGGAAAGACTGGGAAGGAGAACCGAGGAGAGAGTAGGTTGTACAATACTGGTCGGAGGTCTACGTCACACGAGCGGTAACCAAGTAATGTTAACCTTAAAAAATATTGATGATACATACTCTATAGGTGTTAGGAGGTTGGTTTTTCGTACATAAAATTAGGTGCTGCAACCAATCGCGAATAATGTCGAATCTAAATCTGCAGTAAATATATTCCGTACGTAATTAGTTAAAAGATGCAGCAGAAATATCCTTCTACGGTACGGACGAACGAAAATTGAGAACTGCCCTCATACACACCTATCAGCGCCCGACATCTTGTTGACGATCAAAATCCTTACTTAGCTTAGCAATTCCACGCCGAAAACACCCTGACGCATATCTTTACCGCCACGCGCCGAGATACACATTCAGAACCCAAGTACGGTCATCCGTTTGAGCTCACCTTGTCATTATGAAGAACTGACACGACTTACCCTCCCAATGTCCGGGGACCACATTGCTACTTCCCGTGGCCTCATTGGTGTAGGTATAGTATTAAGTCAAGATGAGGACACGCATTTGCCTTTTTGTTTCCTTGACCTACGCTCTCATTGACCAGCTCGGATAAAGTAAAAGATGAGTCCCATGTGGTTATTTAGGTTCCTTCAAAAGGCTAAACGCAATGATGCAGTAATAGTGACAGGTGATTTTAATGCTCCAGTAAGTTGACTGAACCGAACCGAAAAGCTCCTAAATGGGTCTTACAATGTCGCCGCTCAGTGGACACATAGTGGCAATCGTCTACTGCAACCATGTTCAGATAACAGTCTACTTTAAAAAAGAAACACCAACTTTAAACATGAGGAACATCATCCGACGTGGCGAACCATACAATTTACCCAAATAGATCATGACACTGATCATCGTTAGAGGGACTCGATAGAAGCCTTGTTCATTCTGGAGCACAGGTTTGAATCCGGATCATACTCTAGTCCAAGTACGTATTTGTCTGCATCTTGATGGGCGGAGAAAAGCCACATCAAGAAAACCCCTTAGTGTATAACTTAATGACGAGAAAGTTAAGGATATATTTCAGGAACAACTAGAGAATGAGCTAATCAACCGAAAGAATGATACCCCTAAGATAGTTTGGTATGATATCCGAAAAGTTGTGATATCTACCAGTAAGTGAAACGAAAGGGTGTGGAAACGTTCGTTTTATGTAGTCTGAAATTTACTCTAGAATAGGATTATTTCTTTCAGGCATGTCATAAAACGTTTTCGGTAGTTTTTCATTAAACAATCCTCTAGGACATCATACATAGTAAGACGACTGAATAATGATGAGATCGAATAACGCTTATTATAATTACTGTTAATTTAAATCATGAAAAAGTTAGCGACAGAATCTACCTCTGAATCCCTCAGATTTAGGTCACCACAAAATATACTTGCACGACCTTTATTTAAACCAGCTTTTGAATCGCCACAATTGACATAACTGTACATTGTATCCCAAACACTTTTCAATTGAGTCACTCGTTCACCAGAGTATTCTGCACAACTTTCCAAATGTGTAGTGAATATTCGTAGATTTAATTCAAAATTGGACTTGGATAGAAACTGTGATAAATTCAGATCAATAGATAGCAGATGACGATTCATTACAGAATTAGGAAATGGTTGAATCTGAGAAAATGAATAAAGAAAAAGAAAACATAAATGTAAGAGGTAGAACAATGAAGTGTACAAAAGTGTTTTATTAAAGCCTATTATTAATAGTACATTAAAATTACAACTTTCAAGTAAATTGATTTTTCAATTGTTGAGATGATGAGTCAATTAAAGTTAGACCACCATGGAAAATCTGGAAGCACTGGACGAGCATTTTGTCCTATTGTGGGACTCCACGATTCCGCCTAGCGGAATTCGAACCCTGGACCTACTGGTCTCGTGCGCGAGCAGTTAACCACTGGACCACTGAGCCGGCATCCAACGGTGTTAATGTCTAATTTCAACTAATCTAGTGCTTCCAGGTTTTCTATGGTGGTCTAGCTTCAATTAACTCATCATCTCAACAATTGAAATCACTAAAATCTCCACAAAAAGCCCCTTCGAATAATAAATTGATTTTGATTGTTTATAATTTCCATTTTATAAACAAGTATTGAAAAGTAGTTAGTAAGAACAATGAATCAATATTTTGATGAAGCATATTATCAACGTTTGAATAATTCGAGTCCAATTCAATTAAGTAATTACTATCTGGAACTAATGAACTTATGATTCAGTTTTTTTTATGAGTGATATTACGATAAACAATAATGTTAATAATAAAAATATATTTTTAATGAAATATCGAATAAGTAAAAAGAAAATTGTATTTCTGGTGTTACATTGACTTAATGTAAATCTATTTTTTTTTAAAGTAAATAAAAATATAGAAAATTCAAAAAATGAACTGGATTCGGTGATTATTAGTTTATTGTCATAAAACAAATAATTAACAATTCAATGTACACAATAAATAAAGTTCTTAAAATTAATAAATCTTTGACGTAGGCGTTTATTTACAGTTATTTAATACAACACGATTAAACTTTCATTTAAAAAAAAATTTTCTTTTTTTTTTAAATTTTAATATTACGACGCATATGTAAATTAATTATTTGTGCTTTTATGTTACACAAGGAAATTGCAAAAAAAAAATAATAAATACCTGTGTGTACCATACCATTTCAACAAGGTTAGCTTAATGGTTAAGAAATAATTTGATGAATAGAATTGTTCTAAAGATAAGAATTATGTCAGGAAAATAATTTTTTTTTTTAAAAAAAAAAGAAAAACTCTGACAGTTTCAATCATGAATTAATGTTTAACTAAAAAGTTAATACAACTTAAAAAGCACTGAATATCTTGTTTAGTTCTACATATAAAAAATGGTTTCAGCAACATAGACTCTTGACGTCAAAACATTTAAATAATACAGATAACAGGTTTACATTACTATTTAAAACACAAGTGGAAAATAAAATTGGCAGATACAAGATAGTTGAGTGAATCTTGTAAAAGTGAATCATTTCACATTAAATCCATTGAAGAACACAACAATAACAAAAAAAAAAAACCCACCTACATCACAATCTACTTGGGTGACGTGTAATCTTTTCAGTTTGAGATGATTTTTATTTATAATTTATTAGTTAAAATAAAAATTATAACATCACTATTTATATCTATTTGTATATTATATTGTGAAAGCAAACAAAATGGAAAAAAAAGAACAATTGGTAACAAGTAACTGTTGAAACTTTTCACTTTATTAGTGGAAATGTAAATAGGATTAAAAAACACGCTTTCTGAGGAATAATAAACAGCTTTTATTTAAACTAAAATTTCTATCAGAAAGCCTGAAATAGTAACTCAGCATTGAAGATTGAATATTGTAAAGTACATCATTTCACATTTGCACGTAGTAATCAAAATATTTGACTTAAGCGATTATTTTTAATTAGTCTAGTAAGAATAGTACACAACAGTAGTTACAGTTACGTGATCGTGTTTTTTTTTTCAAAATATAATTTGACTAGCGGTGGTGGTTCTTTAATATTTTTACCCCTTCCATCAATAAAAATGATTTTATTCTTCGCCCTTATTCAATAGTTTCCAAAATGAGGTCATCGTTTATTATTATTTTAAGAGGAATATTAAAAGGGGAAATAATCTATGGGTGATTTTGCTTCGTTTCTAATTATCAGCGATAATAATCTAGCAAGTAATGACGAAGTAGTTTCAATACGTCGTCGCGGACACAAGCATTTCAATGGATTAAAGCATGAAAGAAGACTATCAGAGAATTTGAAAGGGCAACTGTTGGGAATGTCTGATGTCAAAGTAAAACTTGTGGAAAGAAAATCAATATTAATTATTTTGAAATTCTCTTACAGCAGATTATTTACTGTAGACACTATTCATGGAATATTAATACAATCTTACGACGTTTTGTGTCAATGACAATCATTCAGTAATCGAATAATAAACAGCTTTTATTTAAACTAAAATTTCTATCAGAAAGCCTGAAATAGTAACTCAGCATTGAAGATTGAATATTGTAAAGTACATCATTTCACATTTGCACGTAGTAATCAAAATATTTGACTTAAGCGATTATTTTTAATTAGTCTAGTAAGAATAGTACACAACAGTAGTTACAGTTACGTGATCGTGTTTTTTTTTTTCAAAATATAATTTGACTAGCGGTGGTGGTTCTTTAATATTTTTACCCCTTCCATCAATAAAAATGATTTTATTCTTCGCCCTTATTCAATAGTTTCCAAAATGAGGTCATCGTTTATTATTATTTTAAGAGGAATATTAAAAGGGGAAATAATCTATGGGTGATTTTGCTTCGTTTCTAATTATCAGCGATAATAATCTAGCAAGTAATGACGAAGTAGTTTCAATACGTCGTCGCGGACACAAGCATTTCAATGGATTAAAGCATGAAAGAAGACTATCAGAGAATTTGAAAGGGCAACTGTTGGGAATGTCTGATGTCAAAGTAAAACTTGTGGAAAGAAAATCAATATTAATTATTTTGAAATTCTCTTACAGCAGATTATTTACTGTAGACACTATTCATGGAATATTAATACAATCTTACGACGTTTTGTGTCAATGACAATCATTCAGTAATCGAAAGACTTGATGTTTTTTGGATTGGTTACTCCTTTCAATCGGACAGGCAAATGTCAATATCAATTATCACATAATATCTACTTTTATCAATTTTCATGATGAACTGATATCAGTTGAAAAATCACTAAAAATAAGTAAAGTTTGATTAAGTTTCATATAAGTATGAAATTGATTAGAAATATATACACTCAATTTGATCCTGACCGTTGTTGCTACCTTGACGTGGTGGTCGGGCTTGCCTATCGTGATGAAGCAACTGAGCTATACTGGCTGGAACAACCGTTCCTCAAGGTCCTACCATGCCAGACAGGTCGGTTGAAGAGCGGTAAGACTAAAAGCAACAAAACCAAGGTCCGAAGGCGAAGTCGTACTGCTGACTGTACAGAGGTGTGACAGCAGTAAGGTGTTTCCTTCAGACAACCAGCATGACAGCGATGCTGCCTTCCCACAAGGAGGGGTGGGGTTAGAAAAGGTCGACCCTAAAAATGCACACCTCGCCTTATCCCACGGATATCCGTCTCCGGCGGTAAGGACTCAACAAGTACGGAGCTAACACAAAAATCACTCATAAAAAGGTCGTGTGTGACCGACCTCAAGCAGCTGTCCCTTGGGCACTGCGGTCACGCTCTCAGGTCACTATGACCACCTCTAATCCAATTTCCTTTTCAGGTACCTCCAGAAGAACCCTTCCACGGTGTGGGCAACCGGGAAGTGATAACCGCCCTCATACCTCTAACAGCACTCAAGACCACTGTATTCATAGTCAACCTCCCTCTTCAATTCCTATTATTCCTCCTACATCGACTTTATACACTAAACTTCCTCTTTTAGCTTCCTCCTCAAGTGTCACCACAGCCAACGATTCTAGTGCTCAAAACACTGTCCCAGGTCTACTGAAACCTCGCTCCAAACTATACATTGGAGCCTTCAACGTACGCACACTATGCCAAATCGGTCAGCAGGCTTCCTTGGCTAAAACCTTAGAATCTCGTACCATTGATGTATGCTGTGTCTCCGAAACACGCATACAGGATCCTAGTGTGGTCATTCACTTGACCTCACCTCGGCAAAACGGAGTGCCGACGAGATACACCCTCCGTGTATCTGGCGACCCGATGGCTAGTTCTCGTGGACTGGCAGGTGTAGGCATAGCACTTAGCATGAGGGCGGAACAAGTGCTATTAGAGTGGATCCCCGTTAACAGTCATCTATGCGCTGTTCGGCTAAACGGCTCCGTAAGAACTCGGAAGGATAGGGACACACGTCGTTGCCTTTTCGTCGTTTCTGCCTACGCTCCCACTGACTGCAGTTCGGATGAAGTGAAAGATGAATTTTACAGAAAGCTGTCTGAACTTCTTCAGAAAGCTAAACGTTCAGACATAGTACTCGTAGGAGGTGACTTTAATGCCCAGGTAAGTAGCTTAAACAAAACAGAAAGACATTTAGGTGGGTATTTTAGTATTCCGGCACAGCGAACAGATAATGGTGATCGTCTAACATGGCGACCCCCTGCACCAAACCAACGATGGACTCAAATAGACCATATTGCCATCAGTCATCGTTGGAGAGGGTCAATAGAAGATTGTCGCTCATTCTGGAGTACCTGCTTGGACTCCAACCATGCCCTAATACGAGCACGCATCCGCTTGCGCCTCACTGGACGCAAAAAAGACTCATTAGAACCGAATTGAGTAATGAGAAAACCAAAAGTAGGTTCCAGGAACAACTGAGGTCACACTTAGTTAGTTCTGAAAACGAGACTGACCCAGATGTTGCTTGGAAAGTTATACAAGCAGCTGTGGAAACAGCAGTGACATCTACCAGTGATTTAAACCAAATGGTTACAAAAAACCAGTGGATTTCGTCAAGGTCTATTGCACTGATAGATTCTCGCAAACTCATCCCATCAGGTTTTGAATACGATGAAGAGCGTAAAGAAATCAAATCTCGATTAAGCAAAAGTCTAAGGAATGATCGTGAGCAGTGGTGGGCAACGAAAGCAAAAGAGATGGAAAAGGCGGCGGCTATAGGGAACACAAGACAACTCTACAGACTAATAAAAGAAACTGGAATTAATAAATCAAGTGTAAGTCAGACCATTTCGGAAAAAGACGACACTCTCATCTGCTCCCAGTCCAGACGCTTAGAACGATGGGCGGAACACTTTAAGGAGCAGTTTAGCTGGCCTTCAGCTACTCTACAACTACCCTCTATTCCCAGACAGCATGAATGGAACATTGAAGTAGGTCCCCCAACTCTAGCTGAAGTTCAAAAGGCTATAGCTAATCTGAAACGAGGAAGGGCAGCTGGTCCAGATGGATTGGCCCCAGAGGTCTTTAAGGATGGTGGTCTAGTCTTAGCGATTAGGTTGACTAATATTTTAGCTAAAATCTGGGAGTTAGACGTTATTCCATCTAACTGGTCACAATCACTTATCGTCCCAATATTTAAGAAAGGGTCAAAATCATCCTGTGACAACCACAGAGGGATTAGTTTGACTAATATAGTATCTAAAATACTAGCTTCGATAATTTTCGGACGCCTAACTAAGACTCGTGAACTGCAAACACGTGAAAATCAGGCTGGCTTCAGACCTGGTCGTGGCTGCATCGACCACATATTCACCATTCGTCAGGTTCTAGAACACAGGCATACTTATCGGCGTCCGACAATGGTGGTATTCCTTGACTTAAAAGCAGCGTTTGACTCTGTTGACCGAGAGGTTCTGTGGCAGTGTCTGTCATTGAAAGGCGTACCTCAGAAGTACATAAACCTTGTGAAGGCTCTTTACTCGAACACTACTAGTCGGGTCAGAGCCTATGGCGAACTGTCATCTGCTTTTGCAACCTCAAGTGGCGTCCGTCAAGGCTGTCCACTTTCTCCTTTTTTGTTTAACTTTATCATAGACATCCTGATGGAAATAACGCTCTCATCGACTGACTTCTCGGGTATTGATCTCCTACCAGGAGGTCCACTTATTGACTTAGAATACGCAGATGACATAGTCCTGTTTAGTGAAGACGCTGATGAAATGCAGAGTCTTTTGGTAGCACTGAGAAACAATGCTAGAATGTTTGGGATGCGCTTTTCTCCCTCTAAATGCAAGTTGTTGCTTCAGGACTGGTCTGCGTCAACACCTGAACTAAGGATAGGGGGTGAAGTAGTCGAACGCGTTGACAACTTCACTTATCTTGGAAGTCTGATCAGCCCTAATGGGTTGGTGTCTGACGAAATCTCAGCACGGATTCGAAAAGCTCGCTTGGCCTTTGCCAACTTACGTCATCTATGGCGAAGGCGAGATATCCGTCTATCAATTAAGGGACGAGTATACTGCGCGGCAGTTCGTTCCGTCCTTCTATACGGCTGCGAAACATGGCCTTTAAGAGTGGAAGATATTCGTAAGTTACTAGTATTTGACCACAGGTGCCTTAGAAATATTGCTGGCATCTGCTGGGATCACCGGGTAAGTAATAGTGAGGTTAGACGCTGGGTATTAGGAAATGATGGTAAATCAGTTGATGAGGTTATGAATCTTCACCGACTGAGATGGTTGGGTCACGTGTTGCGTATGCCTGAACACCGATTACCACGGCGCGCAATGCTAACCGGTGTTAGGGATGACTGGAAGAAAGTTAGAGGCGGCCAAACCACAACGTGGCATCAGTGCTTGAAGTCACTAACTTCTGGTCTGAGCCATGTTGGTAGATGCAGACTGCCTGATTGGGGTCCGCGTGACTATCGTAACCAATGGTTGGAGACCCTTGGTGACATGGCTCAGAATCGATCACAATGGCGTAGGTGTATACACTCTCTATCTTCCTTTAAACTAAGAGATTAAAATCACTTCATATCTTTCTTTCTAGGAACTAATTCTTTCTTCCTGTACTATATCCTTATATGCAGTCTTTCTTCTATATATTACCACCACTGAATTAACTACTTCTATGAATCCGGTGTTCATCTTGTTGTGCTAATGCGGTATGGCAACTTGGACCGATGCATATACGTGCCTGGTCCTACGTTGCAGCTGACTGACTGACACTCAATTTGATGTGCAACTGGATTTAAGATTTGGAGGTCCTATAAAAAACACAAATACTCTTCAGTTACTGTATTAGAATCCTAATAAATCCTGAAGATTTCTTCGATTTTCAGTAAGTTAGAGATTTAAGGTTAACCTCCGTCCAGACTTTGAACTCGATTAACAAGATGACTAATATACAAATTTTCGGCAGAACTCCGCGACATTCACCTTAAAGTAACTCGTAATGGGTTGTTATATATAATGAAGTAAATAAAAGTGGAAAAGCGAGTAAACACATTTTTCGGTATCGGTGAGGTTCGAAATTCCTCTCTTGAAATAAGTTGTTAATACACTACCTGATGTCTTCAAACAGCAATAAATGCTTGTTTTTTTAACGAGGTCCGAAAATGGATATCTTAAATGTTTACTTTTCACTAACAGTTAAATATTTGTTTACACTAACCATAAATAAAACTATTTACTTTTCGTAGTTTTTTTTCTCTTTTCCATTACGAAATATCAGCTAGTGTCTCAATAGAAAAAATAGCTTTCCGATATAGAAAATTAAGTTCGAATACTAAAAGGACAATACCTGCATTTCATATCAAATTTGAAATTAATGATGATAGTTTAGTCAACTGTCAAATCAAAGATGTAAGGAAAAAAATGAATGAATAAATAAAAGACAAAAACAGAAAATTTATCACTTACACTAACAGAATCCGCGTCAACCTTTATATCTGGATGTTTTTTAACTAAAATGACAACAAAATAATCCCATAGAGAGTTATGATCAGATGCAGAAAAAATATCATATGTTGACTCGAGCTTCTCACGGAGAATTTCTAAACAGACAAGTATAACTTCTTGTAAGCAAACTACATGGAATTCTTCTCTAAAAAATATGAAAATCAGTCGAATAGGGTATAAATGCAAGTTATCAGAAACCCAAGTATAAAAATATATAAGTAGATACATATATATTTTATCGATATTATTTGAAGCTATACATATAACAAGCTGGTGAATACTTATTGCAATAATTCAAATTTTACCATATCAAAATAAAAACACGAAGTTCAGCGAAGGGATCTCTTTTCAACGAATTTATTATCAAGCTGTACAATTTTATTTATACGAAAATTTTTTTGTCAAAGTACTAATTCTGTAAAGAAATGTAAACATGGAATAACCAAGATGACGTAATAGAAAGTAATAATAATAATAATAATAATAATAATAATAAGGTATATATGAAGGAATATTGGGGATAAATATACGGAGGAATACAAAGAGTGAATGTATCTGCACCATTGTGAACGATTCTGAGTTATATTATCCAACATCAACCACTGATCGCAGTAATCGTGCAGACTCCTACTAGGTAGTCTGCATCTAAAAACACGAACAGTCAATTTAACGACTTCATGGACTGATGCAATATTTTGGTCTTCCAACTCCCACTAGTTTCTTTCCAGTGTACTTCTACACTAGCTATTATTGCCTGTCGAGGTAGACAGTGCTTAGACCTACACACTACAAGTCCCAGTAATCTTAGTTAATGAAGGTTTACAACTTCGTTGACCAATTTTTCACCTTTGCTTAACCTCACTATTGCTTAGTTAGTCATTCTACGATAGATGGTTGATGCTTCGAAGAAACTTATGATCAAAATTAATCAGCTGAAACATGTCTTTAACTTTCAAAGCCCATGTTTCACAGTCATACAGTAGTGAAGAGCGGACTGCCGCACAGTCTACTCATCTTTTGTTTGTAAGATAGACATCTTACTGACGCCACAAGTGATGGAATTTGAGAATCGCCAAATGAGATTTTTGAATTTCTGTTGATATTTTACCAGATATCAACCCAACATTTATTTATTTATTGTTTATTTGAACACATAAATATTGGTACAAGGGGCACCAAATATATATGCGCCACACCATGTTTTTGTGTGTGGGCTGAGATACTACTTGGGTGCCCAGACGGAAGCAGTTGGTTTTCTTAGGGGGCCACACCCCGAGCCTTCAACCTAAAGGTCTAATCCACAAGGCAGTGGAGCATCGTGAGGAGATGCAGTCCCATGGTAGCCGGTGACCAACGATTGATTCATACGCCATTTGTTCCCTCAGGATACTGGAGCCCATGTGCACGATTGGTTTGGGATCCGGTTAAAGCGCCGGACATTCGCTTTTCGTCCTCTTATTTTCATAAACAACACCCCAGCCACGAGAAGGCAGTGTATAGGACTTCCCTGGCAGAGGCTGTATACACATGGCCGTGTGAGAGCATTTCAAGAGGGAGAGCGAATCCACCCTACTCTCGGCCATACCAGAGTTGATACAACTTTGAAGAAACGTGAAGTAGTCAAACTATTCAATTAATTCAGTTCACATGATCAATTTAGGCGACAGTATACACGGTCATATAAACTGTGACTTTAAAAACTAATCATGAGAAAACCATATCTTCAAATAACGGTAAATATTAAACTACTAATGAAATTATTAAATTTTGTCCAAAACCTATTCCTAGAAGGGGGAAAGCTACAGAGACAGTATCATGCACCCAAACACTTTAACTACTACTCATTTACTAACAGGTTGGAATGTTTGGGTAAACATCAATTTTTCAATTTTCATGCAGTACGAGGTAAAAGTCCAGAGTTCGATGATATTAAACTAAATCAATTCAATAATAAATAATGACGTGAATGTGTACATAAAGCATAACTGCATTGAATACAGTTTATCCAAAATAAATATTAAAGATGGTAGTATTTCTACAGTAATATTGTTATCTTATGATGCAACTGATATGAATAGTGTTACTATTTGTGCAAAAGTCTAGACTAAAAGCCAGTCTGAAAGTTTACCTGAGTAAAACCCCTGACGCTCTCGTCCACTTCAAAATCGAATAAAGTCAAAGGACAGAAGACAGGAGCTTCGATATATATACATAGTTTTTTAATGTAATTATAATTTAGTTTAATTTACAAACTTACATTCGTGGTGATGAAATTATCGTAAGAAACACTTAACGTCAAGCAAGTGCAGAGAAAAATTGTCAGTTGAGTATGATCGAATGATTAATATAATTACATTTCCCAACGAAATAATAGTAAGGTTCTGATTAACCAATAGAAATGAGAGATAAAACAATGGTTACTTACGAGTAATGTAATGAGGTGACGCATTACACAAATGTAACATTAAGTCGATTAGTTTATTAACTATCTATTAAGAATCTCTCGGAACGTGTTTTTTGCTTTGGTAGATAGGAATATTCAAAGATTTGGTCTTACAGAATCAATTAGAAAGAAAACATTAAAGTGAAATGATTTATGCCTTGTGCAGAAACGTATATTGCATAATTAACTAGTTAATAAGGGAAATAAACATTACATCAGAAGTTGCAATAACGCTAACGAGTTTTTGGGACAACGAAATAACGATACAAACACGAAAATGTCAAGTGGGCTGAAAGACAGTCAGAAGTTAAAACATTATCAAGCTCATAAATTGATTACCAAGTCAGTATAACGTTCATTTGTTCTTGACTTACTACTGACAGTTCAAGTCATATAAATTTATTGTATAGATTACCATTGATTTACTTTCTTTAGTGAAGCCTGAATAATAATATAAAAACTAGTTCGAAAGGCACACGCCTATCGTTTTTTAGACGAATATAATACGGCTGATTATTTCCCCGTGATTTCATGAAATTCTCTAACATAGTAATGAAGCTATACAAGGCTTTCCAGCATACAGATGCACATTTAAGGGGCGATTGAGATAGCTTTGATCGAAATGTACACAACTGAATATTTCTATTTGTAGACTAAAAAATGTTTCTGTTCACTAAGGTGTATTTAATAAAAAAATATATACATGTGATCGACTTATTTGCACATTGACTAGAAGTTTATTCCATCTTACTGTAGACTTGGAAACTATTTTACTTTAATTCATTGTATTCACTTGAAAACAATATCTTTCCTTAATACCTCACAGATTGAAGGGGAATAGAAATGGAGTGCCATAGGTGTGACTGTCTGGCTTTCTAAAACAGGTTAGTTGAAATGTTGGGGGTGCACTGAAGGTCTATGATCAATAAGTTGGGAATTGCACATGTACGCCCATAAAAACCTCAAATAAATATATACGGCATACAAATAAACATTTCGATTGAATAGAGTTTAAAGTGTAAGTGAACAAAGGAAAGCATTTTTTTCTAAACAAAATGTAGGCACAAACATGACATGAATTAAAACTATTTTGCTATGAAAAATGGGTTAATCGGTTGATAGCCGATCTTTATCTGCACTAAATTACGTACAGCCAAAAACCTTCGTTTTTTATGGCATCTGATTGTCGAGTCGAATAAAACTGGTTTCAATGTTGAAGTAATCATGGATTCGTTCAAGTTGTTTAATACATGTCAATATGCACAAAATTTGTTTCATTAGAATATTTTGTCAAAGGGCTTTGAACAATGAAAACAATATCATTCAAATAACACTATTCAGTGAAAACGATTTATATGAATATAATATAAATTATCTACTTCTTTATTGTCTCCACTACAGACATCATTCGTTTGTTTAGGTTTGCTGACTCTAAACCTTGAATATTCCACGATAAAACATTGAATATTGGCAAATTTTCAATTGATTCAGTTCTAGTTGTTGATACTGTTTGTTCTGTCAGACTATTATTACACGAATCATCCGAATTAGTAAGATCGATCACAGTCGGTTGTTCATTTGATTGTTGATAAGTTCGTTTGAGCTTTTGTTTCTTACTTCTGATGACAAGAAATCAATCAAAAATAAAAAAAAACATAAATCAATCTGATTATACGTATTAATTAGTTGAACAACTCTTTTTAAATAGTTTATTTAAAAGTTATACAGTCGCTTGGATGTGTAATAAATTGGAATCTTCATTAAGATACTCAGCAAGCAATTTACAGGTTTTTATGATGACATAATTGGACGTTAATCCAGTGTTTAAAAGCATGTCATGGATAGAGACGATACACTTTGCCTGTAACCACATTACAATTGCATTCATAGTCACTATTATCATCACATTATGTTTATTTATACGAGAAACTAATCTTCAACAAAACGCACGCGATGTTAAGTCATTCATACCAGTGGATACATTACAACTTTATCAACAGAAACCGATCAGCACTAAATGGCTAGGTAAATATTACATTCGTCATTACTCAATGACCAATGAATTCTAAATATTCCAGTCCAATACAAAAACAGTTGCCGACTGAGTATCACAGAGTTTTGGTGTTTTAAACTGTGAAGCTAGTTGCCGTGGATCCGAATCCCACAAAGAGTATCGATCTCCTTATGATTCCAGTTACGCTATGTCAAAAAGTGCCAACCAGAAGGAAAACTAGATCGACGGTTTCCTGTTAAGTTAACCTGGTTTATTCGTTAAGCATAATATCAACAAAAAGCAAAAATTATTTTACATTGGTGATTCGAAGTTATGGTAGCTTAAAGTCTGACGCCTACTTAGATAATTGTGAACTCCTTGAGATTAAACAATGCTTATTTGCTTACTATATCTTGGTATCAATTCCACTTTCATCTAATTATCGCAGTTTATTTGATCAATAATCACTTATCTTGTAGTAATACCGTGTGAGTAATGCCGGGATCTGTCAATGCATCATAATAATTGAATAGATAACACCATTCTAGAACACGGATTTAGGTGATTTGAATGCGTAGTTCCAAAGTTTTACACACTGGGAATTGTCTACTGAAGTGGAAACTAAGTAACCAGTTTATGACGTAGTACTGTGATATGAAGATTAGCTGTACGAGACTGGAATTAGTCGGTCATAACTTCTTGGTTAGCGTCTCAAATGTCATAAAACTCGTCAGCTTCATGCATTATCAGACATGACTTAGAAAAACGTCAACTGTAACCATATAGTAATTATTTATTACATTATTCATGCAGTCAATTCATACTTCTAACTTCTTGTTTATAATCTTAACCGGATTGTCTTTTAACAAATAGTACTCTCACAATATATATATATAGGATTTACTTCAAATTCATTCGCTGAGATTTTACAAATACATTTTTTCCTCTTTAAATAGTAGTTATTTGTCTATTTATTGTATAACCTTGACCTTTTATCGCTTTACATTGACGAATACTGTCATGCCAAAATTTTAAGTCTGTCATAAATAAAAATAAACAGATAATAGGTGAATATTGACTTTACACCAGAACATTTCAAAACTCATTTTTAAGCCCGTCATTAGTTAGTAAAGAGATTATTTTGAGTTAAGAGGTGATGAAAATCGATTTCAGACCTCATAATATTCCGGCTCTAATGTTGCATCGTGTTCAATTTACATCACTGAGTTAATATTCATTAGTTTACTTTTCTAACCAGTCAATTCGCAATATTGAGCGATCACCAACTTCAAATCCAACCATCTTTACAACATCCCCTGACAATAACGATTACAGCCAAGTTATAAATCCTTTTCAAAATCAAAATACATGAATATTGGAGGTGAATTTATTATCAAACAACTAAAAATCCAAGAGGTACATATGACTATTTTAAAATACATTTGAAATCATAATTACAGAACAATAATAAATCACAATTATTTTTGTTATGTCAGAGTGTATTATCTGAGACTTTTGTTGGATGCATTAAAGTTTGGTACTGCCCCAGTAGTCTGAAGGGTAAATGTTCGCTGAAAGACCCAAGAGTGTTGAGTTCAATCTCTAAGGATGTAGTTTATGTGTACTACTGAGGAATCTAACACTGGGACGAAATAGCTATTCAGTGCTTCTTGGTCTTGATTATGATCAGTACGTTAAGTAGTATTCAGAAAAACGAATATCATACACAGATGTCTATTTTTCATTAACAGAGAAATGAACAACACTTCAGAATTCATTTACAATAATTTAACTTCTAAACAAACCGAAACAGAATGAATAGTTAGTCAACGAAAAAGTACTTAAAGCTTTCTAGTTAACTAATACATATACTGATAGATTTACGCAGTTTTACTTTCATGAAATAATACCAATATATGTTAGCGATACAAATTTAAAACTTTGATAATCAGTAATAATGAGACTTAATATCAATGATGGGTCAGATTTATTTAAACACTGGAATATACGTAGCTTCTAAACAATTATTATATTAAATGTGTACAGATATTCAAAGAAGTTCAAGGTGTTAGCAATCTCAGTGAGATTTAAACCATAACTTAAAGGAAATTGAAATTCATGTCAGGGATAATATGACGAACGTTAAAATGAATACTCTTACAGACGTAAAAAAAATTACCACTCAATAGAATAACCATACTGAATGAAATATAGAAAACTGTAATACTCTGTTTTTGTGGGCAAAGCTTCAGTATCGTAAATCAAAAAGCGAAATAAATTTGTAAACAAAGACTGTTGACGAAAAATAAATTCATTATACAGGTTTGTGAGTGATATTTAATATCACGGGTATCATAAAACCATGACCAGTGGAGTTCAAACATGTCGACTGTGAGGCAGTTACCCACTGAACATAATGGAAGATTCTAGTTCAGTGGTTTAGACTTGAAGCGTTCACAAGTGAGATTGAAGGTCCTGGGTTCCATATATAGTAGGGTCGTGGATGCACAGTGATGACAGCCAAAGAGTTGACCCGTGATTCCTGCTTTTCAATTGATGTCATTTTTAATATCAACAACAGAAAATTAAATCATTAGAAATACCATAAACGTCCAGAAGACTGAAGTTAGGAACACAAATATTGGAAAAATCTCCAAAATAGAAAGAAATATCCATTGAGAGTAACATTCTTCCAATCCGCTTATCAATTTATTTCAGTATGAAATGGAGAATTGGTAAATTGAGATAACTGATTAGCTCACATATGAAAATATTCCTCCAAGTTTCTGGACTGATTAGATTAATATTAGATGCTGTATCAAGTTGGAAACGAGTGCGCTGTTTATTAATATACAAAGTTACGTACTTTCTTTGGCAATAAATTCATGCTCGGTTATATGATACCAATATTTTGTTAGTTAATGCACCAGATCTGCATTTCTTGAAGTAGAAATTCGAAGGGTTCTCTTTCTGCAGCTGATTTCTTTATGACCCTTACGATGAATTTACTGCAACAATGTTCTTTATATGGGCAGAACCTCTTGTAATGTCAACCTTCACACGACCAGCATGGAGTTGAGGGCTGGTTGCGTGTGCGTGATACTTTTCTTGAGCAGGAATCTTTCTTTTCGCTTACAACATGAACGCATGGCAACCGGCTATTATTTTCAACCTTGGGAGTGTCGTGTTTCACGTTTACCAATGTCTGGCACTCTGTGGTTACTTTCTGTAGTGTTATATTCAAGCGTTGTTCAATTTTATTCTAAATTCTTGTTATAATATCAGCATCTTCGGGAGATTGAAGGCTGCACACAAATACAAGACACTTAAACTGTCTTCTGTCATTGCTGATAGTTTGAACCGCTCACTTTCACAGTTTACTAAACCCGTATCAGTTATTATCACCTGTATTTGTCATCTTGAGACATTGATAACGAAAAGTGTTTGTTTGGTAAGAATCGAAATGTACAGAAAATCACGGGTATTTATAGATATTAGCATTTGTTAAATCAACACGATAATTCGGCCAATCCGCAGACATATTATGCTACTGTCCAATGGTAGCATGCCACGTTGATATTCTAGAAAGCTGCATCATATTCTCATTGGATGGAAACTCTTCGGCTCCTTTAGGGTCTCTGGAGGCTCCGTTATAGTTCTCGGAAGCCGACTCAACGCATTACTTAAATACACAGCAACAACTTTTGTGCTTCGATTACCAAGAACTTTTATTTCGATAAATCAAAATAGTTTTGATAATAATTTCGTGGAAATAACACTAAAGTATACGCACACAAACACTAAGGTTGGGGAGCATTACTGCTGAAACAATACACGAATGATGAACAGTAAATAAGTACACACAACTAACGTATAAGGTAGACGTTTATCTACTAGACTATAATTGAAATCTAGTTTCAAAACGGGTATAAATATTACTACTCGTGTGTTCGGAGGAAAAATATTGATTCACGACAGTCCATTAAAACTTGGATACATAAATTGTCAAAGTTATACAAAATATATTCGACAGAGTACGGTAATAAATATATAAATAAGTCGGATTTTCGATAACTGAACACAGTATGGTATTCGATTGAACAAGGATAAATTATAACTGATGACCGGAAATTTCCGAATAACAGACCATCTTTTGAAAGCAAAGAATTTTTTTGAAGCTACGGTTACAAAATTCCCTTTTAATTTGTATGTAATTAACTATTCTATATTGAGACGAAAAATGAGAGCAGAATATGGACTTGCTTGTTGTGATCAGTGTGAAATCACACGCATATAACACAAAGTTGTAGAACCTTTTTCTATTTACTCCATCTGTAAACGTTAAGTATACAACCTTTTATTTTAAACATCAGTCGATTAAAAAATCCTTATCCTTACAGTTAGTTTAATTTCTTTCAGTCGACTAATAAATTGAAAGGCTTAAAAATCAAACAGATCCGAAATCAATACATCAATTGCTTCCACATCTTTCTCTCCCTCTACTGAGCAACATAAGGTGAATGGACAAGTCAAATATCACGCAAATATCATAAGTGGTGTTGATTAGTGCGTGGGAAATGTAAAAAAATTTATCGTTTTAGTAGCAGAAAAACTAGTACTTAATTAAGTTTTTAATACTTTATGATAACAAGATCCAAAAAAAAGTGGTTCCAAAACAACACGAAAATTTGAGGTTTGTTCTACACTTTGTTTCGTCCCAGAAAGATGACGTACAAATTTAAAGAGTACTAGACAATTGCAGAACGATTGCTACTAGACTGACAAGTATTTATTTATTTATTTGAACATAAGGAGGCACCGAATACATATGCGCCACACAAATCTCATTTGATTTGTGTGAGGGCTGTGATACTGCCTGGGTGCCCAAACCCAAGCAGATGGTTTTCTTAGGGGACAACACCCGGAGCTTTTGACTTAAAGGTCTGATCCACAAGGCAGTCGAGAAACGTAAGGAGATGCAATCCCATGGTAGCCAGTAACCAACAATTGGTTCATACGCCATTTGTTCCCTCAGGATACTGGAGCCAATGTGCACCATCGGTTCGGAATCAGGGTTTTCCATTTCCCCTAGGTGGACTCTCCGTGGTCACCAACTCGGTTAAAACGCCAGACATTCGCTTTTCGTCCTCTCAATTTTGTAAACAATACCACTGCCACGAGAGGGCAGTGAGTAGGACTTCCCTGGCAGAGGCTATATAAGCGTGGCCATGTGAGAGCATTTCGAGAGGGAGAGCGGACTCTCCCCACTCTCGGCCGTACCAGGGTATTCTGGGGCAGACTGACAACTATTCTACTGACACTGGATTTTAACTAGAATACTCCTAATTTAATCAAATATGTATTACAAATATCATGAACGATTTATGAATTTTTAGATATCATAGTTCTGCCTAGCATAGGTGTTTCATTTTGTAAAACATAATCGATAATAATGCATAATAATATAACTATTTGTAAAAACAATGTGTAACATTTTTTTCATCACAGTAAGACAATATTCAAAGACATTGCATTTTATTCATATATATAGGCAAGAAAAATGTGGAGTTATTTGAAAAATTATTGACAGATTCGTACGCTTTATTGTAAAATGTCTAGAACATCGTAGCCTCCAGATGGAATCACATAAATGTTTTAGAAATCATGAAGGAAAGCTATAGAGTAAGCGGTTCTAGCTGACTTCGACCAAAATTGAACAGTTAGTGTTTGCGTTGCATTTCCTAGTAGTTTTCACTGATATCAGAGTTGTTTAATAGATGAGTATATAACATTATCGTATGGAGGAGATAGAGTGCAAACCATTTTAGTCCATAAGCCTTTAAAAACTTTGTTCTAATTATTTTCACAATTAAATATAAAACCAATTTTCTTTTTCTCACTTTTCCAGTGTTATTAAACCTTTATGAAGCTTACATCATTGTAAAAGCTATATTTCCAGGAAACATGTTAATAAATACCACAAATAGATGATATCTAATGATATTCAAGCTAAGTACATCATTCAGTATGAACACACCTTGTTAACTTTATACATGTTTCATGTATATTTGTTTACATTTTCATAGGAGCTACTTTTACAATAGACAAGAAAGTTTACACGTCAATCATGTCATATGGTTGTTTAGCATTGAATATATTAATTAATTTGTCAATAAGTTAGATAATAAAGTTCAATAAACAGAAATATATAGTAGAAGAAAAAAACCGACATAAACTTGAATGAGAATCTGATGTGTTCACATCACAAAAAATTTTAGTACGATACTACAGAAAGAAAAAAATTGTGATGGTGACGAGGAATTTTGAATAATCAGTCTTCCATGTTACTTTTCGGATATCGTGTCAGATGAATTACAAACCTAAGCACAGTAAACAGGATTTGTGTTTACGTATGCAAAAATAAAATATTATCTCTGGCTATATTTGATTTATTAAATATACTGAGCGCTTAACATGAATGAAAATTGTTCAGCGATTTTAAGGAATTTTGCCGCCGACAATTCATTGCACATAAACGCTGTGAATAGGTGAATAGAAACCAACGTCGTTTATCGAATTTTAAGTCGGAGTTATGAATTATTAACATAACTAACAATCGTACTAGTGTCCGAAAAATTTAAAACCTAGGCTAATAATCAGTTGATTTCGCTCAAGCCGGCTTCACTTGAAAGAGAGTGATTCTAATCAAATTCCACATTCACATTTAACAAATAGATTTGCGTAAACAGCACTAAGCACAGTCTTTCTGACTATTAATTAATCCAAACATGATGACAAGCAAAAGCGATGACGCCCACAACTACAGAAATCTATCAGTAATCTGTCTAGAAATATATAAAGAATTGTAAGTCACTGTACAAAAAATTAGTATGAAGTTTGGAGGTTTGCAGCATCATAACTCTTGAGAATGATAGTGTGCATATGTCTGTATGTGTAATACTTTTAAAAAATTGTCCGTATTATTATTATTGCGACGACAGAATGAAAAGTAGACAATGGAATTACTTAACATCAAAGAATGATAACTTTTAACTATATACATATCTAACAACATTTATTTTGAAAAATTCATGATACATCTACTGGAAAGCGTGAGTCTGATTTATCTAATACACACATATATAGTTTATTTAAATATATCGGTCAGTTTAATTAAAAAGCGAGTCAGAATTCCTAAAACGAAACAACAATAAACAACATTTCATTTAACCACTGAAAACAAATTAAACACTGTTGTAAATTGTAAAGAAAAACTCCGTAAAGAGCACATTATTATGTAAAAAAGAACAAGTATACACAAGTATAGAGTTAAATGAAAAATTGCATGAAATAAAACACGAAAAAACCAAATTCATCAAAAAAGTCGTTTTGTAATTAAGATACGTTTGTTTTGAATGAGATATTACAGTACTGAGAATCGATAACCAAGTGACATATAAGTTGATTGTTGATAATTTACATATAGCTGTTTAGCTATGCTGAAATAAACAAATTGGTTGAGTCTATAAACCACTAGTCTTTTTCTTTAAATAAATAAGGCTTTGAAACTATATGATACTACAAGAAAACAATGTTTGTACACGATATACATTCAATAAATTAATACCAATTCGTTTAATAGAAAACTTAAAACTAACAACACTTCAAAATCTGAAGAACAATGAAACACATAACAAATTAATATTAAGGTAAGTAGATTATAAAACAAGATATTAAAATTTGAGCTTACGTGGAACTATTCTGTTGTGTTAAGAAGTATTTATTCACCGCAAGCTGTCAAAAGAAAAGAAAAGTAATGGTGAATTTTTGATATATATATATATATATATATATATATATATATATATATATATAAACAGTTGAGATCTGGAAGTGCTGGACGGCCGTTTTGTCCAATTGTGGGACTCCTCAGAAGTGCGCATTAACGACCCCCCAAGTGCACTGGTACGGCCGAGAGTGGGGAGAGTCCGCTCTCCCTCTCGAAATACTCTCACACGGCCATGCGTATATAACCTCTGCCAGGGAAGTCCTACTCACTGCCTTCTCGTGGCATTACTGTTGTTTACGAAAATCAGAGGACGAAAAGCGAATGTCCAGCGCTTTAACCGGATCCCAAACCAATCGTGCACATGGGATCCAATATCTTGCGGGAACAAATGGCGTATGAACCAATCGTTGGTCACGGGCTATCATGGGACTGCATCTCCTTACGATGCTCCACTGCCTTGTGTATCAGATCTTCAGGTCGAAGGCTGCGGGAGTGGCCCCCTAAGAAAACCATCTGCTTTGGTTTGGGCACCCGGACAGTATCACAGCCCTCACACTTATCAAATGAGATTTGTGTGGCGCATATGTATCTGGTGTGCCTTGTACCTATATCTATGTGTTCAAATAAATAAATACCCCACCTCGTGGGATTCGAACCCAGGACGTATCAGTCTCGCGGCGAGCGCTTAACTACCAGAATGCTGAGCCGGCATCCAACGGTGTTAATGTCTAACTAATCGAGCGACACATCCACATCTCAACTATTGAAATTACTACAATTTCCACAAAGCCCCTCCTGATATCTATCTTTTTATTCGAAATGTTTCAAAAGTATTCAGATTATTACTATTATATATTCAATTGAAGAAGATTGTTTACTACTAACTTAACAGTTATTGAGTTACACAAAAAGCTAAATTCTTACCTTCATTAACCTACAAAGACTTTAGAAGCGCACTAGCCTTGATGTGTACAGAAAAGAATTTTTCGAGACAGTGAATTCATAGCTGAATCTTTAATATTTTAATAAAACAAATAGTGGGTAAACATCAGTATCCTTTGGAGGTAGAGGAGTGTGTGTCAACATTAGGAGTCAGGTCGTCATCAATCATGCTAACAGTGATGGGTTTAAAAGAACATGAACGAAGTGAAATTAATGAATAATCAGCTAGTGCACGATGATTCATTACTTATGTTGTATCAAGTTGTCTGAAAATTCAAATAATTTGGATGCTGAAATCACGTACACTGAATGGCTAATCGATAGACACCAGTGTTAACTACTGATGCTCTAGTCCTGAACGAGGTATCTATTCAATTGTCTGTCGTACTATATCACGAGAACCAAAAGCTTAATCGAATCACGACTTTTAAACGTTTGTATGTACATTATGATAAAAGATATTACAGAACAGAAAACAAGATCCACAGTGACCGGTCGACTCCCTGCAATTATATACAATTAATAAATATATTGAATCACTATAACTGAGCCATAACTTATTATACGTATATCCTCTTATTACGTAACTTGGAAGTTAAATGAACTCACTAATCTAAATCGTAAAACTGTATCTCGATGAGTGAAGTTGGATTTCTGTAAACCTTGTTTGATAAGTCACATATTCCTAAGGTAATCGTAAAAGAGTTAACATCCTAGCAAATTATAATGAAGTGTTCCTAATCTAATTCAACTTGCTTAAAAACGTAGTACACATGGAATCAATTGGAACTTCGAAAAACATTAGAGTTATTTGTTTCTTTAAAAAGGAATTACAAATTTCAATGTGTAAACTTGGTTTCTGTAATCTTACTAAACAATCAAATTTACTTAAAAACCATAATCAACCTACCACTTCATATGTAAAGTTATGAAAATAGTAATACTTAAACAAATATTTAAAACAAACAATTCCGTATTTTGTAGAATCAGGAAATAATAAAATAAAAAGGATCAATTTACACACTGCTTTCTTTATTCCTGTTTATTAGATAGAAAATAGGTGTATGAAGTTAACTGAAACATTGAATTACATAACCCACGGGAATGTTACACGAGAATTTACACCACAAAAACTATTTAGGTGACTAGTGTTTATAAACACTCTAATTAACGGTAACTATAATTACTTCTAAAATATACTGTTCTACAACCTTTAAAAACAAAATTATTCATTCGCGAAATCCTCTTCACTGAAAAACTTATTTGTACATATCTACTCATTTATGCATCCTACACTAACCCTATCAATAACAGTAAAAATAATATTGATTGTGACAGTTGTTTTATAAAATTATTTCTAATGTGAAAATTTAATACAACTTCTAATTACATTCAACTGTTCATCGACAATTTTTCACAAAACACTTTATCTACTCTATTAAGTATTACTACGCATTTTATTAATCACAACTGTGAAAATGACGTAACTATTGAAATGTGTTACAAACTAACATAATCATTATTTCGAAAAACAAGTCATTTGTATTGATGCTAAGTTAGCAATGTTTAACTTGTGAGCAAAATATGACTATTTTATGCATGTTTACATAAACTAAACGAACAAAATAAACACTGTACATCATCATCATCATCGTCAAATCGAACAGTCTCAATTATGCTTTACCAATGAAATCACATATTTACAATCCACATTGGCCTTGTATTCTGTAGAATTTCGACTGACTGCACGTGACCGACGAAAAAATATCATAGTCATTTTGTTTATTTTGCTTGCGTAAGAATATCAGTTGAAAATTATCACTTGCATACAAGTTGGTTTAATAGTTGAGATGTCTCTCAGTTACATTACGAAGTAATCTAAAATAACAACAAGCATGGAGAATGAAACCTTAAGTACTTGCTCACATACTCACGCCTGTTATCAATCGTGGAGCAGCGTAGCCTGCTCACTAGCATTCTCCATCCAACTTTATCTTGAGCTAGCCTTTCTGGTTGCTATTCATCCTTTTCATGTCTTCATCCAATTCTCGACACAATGTGTTCTTTGGCCTCCGTCTTTCCCGTTCACCTTCAGGATTCCAATTTAGCGCTTGCCTCGTGATGCACTTTGATGACTTCCCAAACATATATCTTATCCACCTCCAGAGTCTTTTCCTAATTCCCTCTTCAGTCGGAGACTAGTTTGTTCTCTCCCATAGTAGGCTGTTGCTAATGGTATCCTACCAACGGACATTCAGTATCTTGCGTAGACAATTGTTTGAAAGTATTTGTACTATTTTGATGATTGTTTTTATAGTTCTCCAAGTCCCAGTTCCGTACAGTAGAACTGTCTTGACGTTTGTATTGAAGATTTTAACTGAAAGTTGTTTTCAGTTCCATATATTCTTCAACTGTAGGAATGCCATCCTTGCTTTACCAATCCTTACGTTTACACTCACATCAGATCCTCCTGGTTCATTGATAGTGCTATACAGGTACGTGGAAGCTTTCATCTACTCCACAGATTCTCCATCAAATATGATTGGGTTGGTGTTCTCCGTGATGTAATTCAGGATCTTGCATTTTCCCTTGGGTATCTTGAGGCCTACTGATGCAGAGGCTGCTGCTACATTGACTGTCTTGACCTGCATTTGTTCCTGCGCATGGAATAGAAGAGCTAGGTCATCTGCGAAGTCAAAATCGTCTAGTTGCATGCAAGTTGCCCACTGTATTACGTGCATCGTATCAGGTGTCGCGGTTTTTATAATCCAGTCAAACACCAGAAGAAAGAGGAAGGGGGAGAGTGAGAAGCGTTGTCTGACTCCAGTCCTCACTTAGAATACATCTGTCAGCTGATCTCCATGCACCACCTTGTACTGTACTCCGTCGTGTGAATTACGGATGATATTGATGATCTTCTCGAGTACACCGTAGTGTCGAAGAAGGTTGTGTAGGGTTCTTTTATCCACGCTGTCAAACGCTTTCTCATAATCAATGAAGTTGATGTGTAGTGACGAGTTCCATTCAAATGATTGTTCAACGATGATCCGTAGAGTCGCGATTTGGTCTGTGCACGACCGATCCTTACAGAGTGAGACCTATTGATCACGAAGTTGGGTGTCTACTGAATCTTTCATCTGGTTCAGAAGGAAAAGATCTATAGATACTAATCATATAGCTTGAAAGCATATATACACATAAAACACTGATCAAAGTGGATCAGTGCAACTTGTATTATTGATCACACTAACTCTGGATATATTATGTAAGCAGTCAGTTATTACGCATTCCAATGTCCTAACTTTCTGTTAAATTATATGTATATGTACATACTTCTTTCAACCTTTCTTTCCGCTCATTATTTTGTATCAAACTAATTAAAAAGAAGCGAAAAAGAAGACAACAAACAGGAAAAATTTGCATAGTTTAAATACATCATCCAAGCTAATAATATCATTGAGGTCAAATCCAAAAAACGAAAATGTAATAAGGTAATAATCAGACGACATAACAAATATTTTTAAGTGTTCACCTACGTGACCACACACACAATATGAAAAGTGTTTGCAAAAAATAAATAGTTACATTGGTGGCCTTCTATATTTAGAGATTGGAATCTTATATCACATGAAATAAAATTATCTTAAAGAAACAAATAAGCTTTTTTGCAATCATCATTGTGACGGTAACATACAGCGATATACGAACCGATAAGACTATATTCGGTTTTTCAAGTGAAATTTAAAAATGAATAAATTTTATTTCACATTACATATAAAGTGTAGTAAAAATGAATACCTTTGTATGGTGCATGTAACGTTTTAAATTACTGGGGGAAATTCATTTTTGTTATGATAGAAGAAAATCAATGGTGTGAGACAAGGTAAATGTCCACCTATTTCAATGTATATTGTATATATCAAGTAAATCAATTTTTGTTTCAATCTACTTGGTTCAAAGTAAATGGTCAAAATCTACTCTAGCGTTGATGAATAATGAAGAGGCTGGTGAAGTAGGAATGCTAAAATTCATAACGACTTATATACATGAATTTCGAACACTT